GAAGCCAGAGCAATCAAGAAGACAAAGAGAAAATCTGCATGCCCCACCCAAACTCTAGGAGTCATTAGCCCCATCACCTGGGAAGCAGGATATGATAATAGGATTAAACCACAGATATCAAGGCCTAGAAAAACACTCAGAAATAGCCTCAAAGTTCATGCCACAGGAACAGGAAACTTCCAAACAGGGCTAGAGGGGGTATAAAAACCTTCTACCCATGTGCTCAGTCTCTTTTTTTCTCCTCTGCTCCTTCTTGCAAGGACCATCTTTCTGCTTCAATAAACTGTAACCTTCTTCCCAAAGCAGTCGCCATGTTTGCTTATTTATTCCCGGCTTGGATGAACCAGGATGAAGACTTACTTCTATCACTCTTTTCATACTCCCAATTTAATCCAGGAAGGTCAGGATTAGAGGAAGCAAGAGTGGCATATATAATCATATCTCCTTTCCAAACTTATAATATCTGAATAGGGGAAAATTACCTGGCATATAGAAACTATGACATATTCTGTGTTTTGACTTCTCAGGGAATAGGTGATATAAATTTGGCTCATCAATGCTTCAAATTGACTTTGGCTAACAACAATGACCATGCAGAAGCCTATAATAACTTGGCTGTGTTGGAAATGCAAAAAGGCCACATTGAGCAGGTTAGTATCAAATGTAAAGGAAGGTGGGACCGTAGGTTTCTGTAGCTAATGTATTTTAGGAATAATGTTCTTTGAGGCAAATGAGAACCATAGTAATGAAGTCTCAGCCTGAAGCATAGGCTGCATCAGTGGTAGGAAAAACAACTGTGCAAATGTCTTTAACCAATCCACGATGGGGTAGGAGAAGGTTTGTTTCAACTTGATATTTACAAAACGTAGTGTTGCAGCAGCAGAACATTCCAGAGTTACAAAATGTTCCAATTCTGTCTATAGGCTGTACCAATATAACTCTAATGGGTGTTTTCAGATCTTTATTCTCTGAATCAGAAATATTTTCTGATATTCTGGCCTAGAATTGTTTTCTCTGAAACACCACAAACATTTTGCAATTTGGAAAATTAAATTCTGGAAAACCATAAGGGCCAGTTCAACATAATATGGAGGAGAAAGAAATTTAAGCTATCCTCATTGAGTCAATTATGTTGTACAGACACTGTAACTAGGTAAAAAAATATGGCAGCTGTAAAGCCCCACTGAATCAGTCCTCCAAGGAAAAGAGTTGCATATAGAGTGCATTGTAAAGTAAGTCCACTGGCAGACTCCTGGAGGTCATGAAACTTGTATTTGTAGCATTGGCTGCCATTCCCAAGCCAAAATCACTGTCGGAAAATGAAATCTACATAATTGGTTTGTGTATATAAATTTCTCCGTATACTTTTAAACTATATAGAGTTTCAGATTTGCTCTTTGGATGACTGAACAAATTAATTACAGTGCTCTTCAACTTGGCAACTTTAAAATGTGTGGATATAAATTCCAAGAATTCCCAGCTAGCATGCTTTAGTTTAGCAGATGAACCATAGCATAACTTAAGTTTCAAAAACATATTTTAATTAAAGCTTTATTCATAATTATCAAAGTTCTTTCAGGCCTACTGCCTCAGTATTCTAGCAGTTACCATGGAAATTATCAAATATACATCTGCACAATCCTTTGCTCTAATAAAAAAAAGATCATGCATTGATGTCTAGCTGGCACTGTAGTATATATATATATGTATAGAATCTTTTCTTTTAAATATTTTCCTTCAGTTTGTTTCCAGTTTCTTTTGCAGTAACTGTAAGGCATATTATAGATTGTCATTTACAGCTTAGTTTAATTACCATTTTCCCCACCCATCCCATACCTACTCACCCGCTCTGCATTTGAGTACACATGTACTTTTCTGGCATTGAATATTGCCTATCTAAATTGATGGTGGGCATGCAGTTCAAATCTTCATATATTTTATAATCATGCAGTTGGACCAGGTGCACAGACCATCTTTCAATTTGAGGATTAGAGGAAATTTCCAGTGTTTTATCCAAACCACTGGTTGTATTTGGTAATTTTATACAGAGTAGTTAGTGTTGAGGTAATTGGTAACAAACTGTATCTTCCAAAATAACATATTTGATTTCAGTCATAGCACTGAATCAGAGCTAGACAAATGGTCATCTGCAAGCAACATATAGCACAGAGGGGGTGCTGCCTGCATCCTGCGGATGGGGCTTTCCTTCTTTGTGTGGACTGGTACTGGTCCACAGATTGGGGGTGGGGACCCCTGCCTTATAAAGTGCATTAGTGCCCCAGGTTTGGGAGCTCAGCCAGGTCTTTAAAGTTTTACAGAAGGCTAACAAAATCTAATCTCCAAAGGGAAGATGTTCCACAGAGGGCCTTCCTCAGAAAAACTTGTCTTCTAGTTACCATCAGCCAACATTCTTAGGCTGATGGAATCTGCAGCATGCCCATCCTGTTTGAGGTAATTGGGTGGGTAGAGACTCTTGGAAAAAGGTGATCCCTCAGATACCCTGGTCCCCAGCCATGTAGGGCTTTATAGGTAATCACCAGCGCCTTGAATTGCATAAAGCACTTGTCACAAGAATAGAGCTATGGGGTAGACACCCACAAGAATGGCTTTGTAATAGGTATAGTTCTGTTTGCACCTTTCCCAGCACAGGATTTTGCTAAAAACAGTTTCTTGGTTTCAGAGTATGTTCTTTTGCTTAAGTGTGAATATATATAATATATATAATTTTGCATAACTGTATGTTGTTAACTACAATATAGAAAGAGTCAAGTAATATATACATTTAAATAATAATAATAATACCGCAGACTTAACAATTGTCAATAAGAAAGACAAATAGCACTTGCCTGCAAGTAAGAACTGATGAGGCTGCAAAATAGACAAAGTAATAAAAAATGAAGAAGCCAGTGCCTGGGACTTTAAAATTCAAACAGACAAGCATCTGCCATATAGCTCCCAAAATTTAACAAGTGTTAATACGAAAGACCCTCCCCCCCAAATTGTATCATATACATTGCAATACTTGGAGACAGCAGAATAGAAGAACTCAAGAAAATCACAATATATAAAGATCTGCAAATGGAATCAGAACTGTGGCAAAAGAAAGCAAAGATAGTATCAATAATGATCGGTGCAATCCCCAAACATTTGGAACATACCTGAACACCACTGGCATTAACAAAATCACCATCAGTCAATTGCAAAGGCAGCTTTATTTGGAACAGCTTACATCATGTGAGGATATCTTTTGATGCTATTAAAACACAAGATCTTCCTATGCCACAATTTTGTCGATAGGTGGATTTGCATTTTTGTCCACCTAAATATCTGGCTGACTGCAATTAATACTACATTACATAATGTGTAGGATATATTAAAAGTTAATTAAAATATGTTTCTGTTTGAGGAAGTGATCTTGGCTTAGATAATAAATCTGAGTTTGACTTGCAAAGAGGCCCTTATTCACAAGGTACTTTGTCTTCTTTGTGTAGGACAAACCAGTCTGAGGGGAGGACAGAAAGTTCAGTTTAATAAAATCAATAAAAACAGATAATATGAGTGCTTTTCATGTATTTAAATTATTCTATAGTGTGTTATATATAAAGTTAAATAGACCAGTGATCCGACTTGGTCTGAGAAAAGTTACTATATTAAAATAACACGGGACAACCCAAGATGGAAAGAGGGGTAGCGATATTGAGTATTGACCTGTATAAATATGAACACTGTTTCTGTGCTTTAGGCAAGAGTGTTTCTGCAGACGGCTTCATCAATAGCACCTCATATGTATGAGCCACATTTCAATTTTGCTGTCTTGTCTGAAAAGGTAATGTCATCACCCTTTTTTCTGTCACATGTACCTGTTTATTAGTTTGTATATCTTAAGTATTTTTGTCCCAAAATTTGCCTGAAAAGTCTGTAGATCAGTTTACAAATAAAAGACAAATCTGATGTACCTAGAAAATTTGATAAAAAGGAAAATAGGTTGGAAAGGAGAAAGAAAAGCAATAAATTCATGAATTAAACTTTTACTGCAGAAGTCTTATATAATTTGCCCATCTGATATATTTGTTCCAGTCTCGTAGTAGCAGTCCATGCATCTGTACTGTGTTCAAAGACAGCCACAAGTAGAGTGCCTTAGAGTTCAAAATGTTGTGCCTTATTATATATGTTAGAATATAAATATTTTTAAAGCAAATCATTGGATGAAATCTTAACATATAAGGCTGTTGGTAGTATTTCTATATCATTTGGTCTGTTTGCTTTTCTGCAGGTTGGAGATCTCCAAAGAAGCTATATAGAAGCTCAGAAGTCCAAAGAAATTTTTCCAGAGCATGCGGACTCTCAGCAACTTATTAATCAGTTAAAACAACACTTTGCCAGACTTTGATGTACCTCCCTCCCATCAAAGAAAATATTTATTTTTCTTCAAAACTGCAGACGTATGCAAAATTATAAAGAATTCTCAGAATATTTTTACATTTATATGCTGAGAATTTTATTCAAACTGGGAGCAAACTGAGGATTTTTATTCTCTCAGAGGCTTAAAAGCTGCTTTAGTAGAATCTTATCTTTTTAAAAAAGAATCCCTGACTAGTAGCAGCATTCATTTTAGGTATATTAAGTGAAGCAAGGCAAATTTTAGTTTACCTCATAATGAGTAATGGGAATATTTCCATACAGGAACTGCTTAAAAATGTACCCTTGTTTCATTCTTTTTTCAAGGAAGCATTTTTTCTTTATTTACTTCCTACAGTAATTGTAGTGATTTTATCTTGTTACAGTAAGCAAAATTGTTCAGTTTTAGACTGTAATTTTTATTTAGGAAGATCACAGGTTGTTATGTGAAAAGCACAAGTGTTAGTGTTGATGAACTAAGGAATGTACATGTATCCCTGTATTGTTAACCTGGTATATATACTATCTCCAGGTTTAAATTCATGGCATTCTTTGCTCATGATTTTGGGATCAATGAAGGCTGTATACCAAAAGGAGCTATTGGTATTTACATAGAAAAGCTTGTTTTCTCTTTCTTTTGCTGTCTAAGTGGGTATTAATGAGGCAGCAGAAACAGAAAGAGAGGTACAGTTGGATCTGTAGCTTCAAAGCAGTGAAACCTAAGAGTGTGTACAAATCTGAATGCCTGACCCCAACAGGGTAGGTCGCCTTTAGAAGGAAAGGCAAAAGCAGTGGCTAGGAAAATATTTGCCCTCCTTAGTTTTCCTTCATTTCTGAATCCAAATTGAATTCTGGACATCAGCAGTGGGAGTTTTGAGAAGTGCGTAGGTCTGCAGTAAATGAACTTCCATCTCATATCATGGATATTTTTGACAACTGATGCATATTCTGGTATTTTTCCTAATGTTACGTTCAGTGAAGGCTCATTTGTTTTAACTCTAAGGGCATTTGATCCTTAATATGTCGATAAAATGGGTGGTTTAACTTTATTTCACATTATCTCCCATGTCTTTATTGTTAAAAATTATAAATGCCATTTACCTTTGCATCGTATGTAAACCCATAAAAGGTTATTCAAGTTTGTTAAAATTAAACGGCCTCTTTTTCCTATATAACCTTTTTTCCTATATAACCTTCCTATATAAGAAACTATTATATAATCCTACCACTTATAGAAATTTCCAGCATATTTGCCTGAAGTTAAAAAACTGTTATTTTTCAATTTAAAAATATTTAGTTTTAAAAAAGCAACAGAACATAGGCAACTGTAGACCACTAGCCATATCAATTTCCAGCTGCAATTTCTCCTATAGATAATTGTGCAGCTAATATTAGCAGTTTGCCAAAAGCAAACGCCTTCATTTCTTTGAAAGGAGACATTTCTGCCCCTCAATTTTTATCTAGTTCCTTATTCAAGCCCATTTATTCATTCACCTGCTTCATTTGCTAAAGCAGACAGAAACTTTAATATTTCTGGCTCAAATCAGATGATGAAAAGAAATGTGATAAAAAATAAGAGGTTTTTCTAAATTTGCAGAGATTTAACCTTGTTCCCATCAGGTTAATTTGCATGGAAATGGATCATTCATTCATTCATATCTATCTAGATCCATTTCCATGCACGTGCACACGCATGCGCGTGCGTACACACACACAAATCACTGTACTCAGGATTAATTTAAATTATTGAAGAAATCTGACAATTCTACAGACCTAAATTTTCATATGTAGTTATGTATATTTTAACTTTTATTTATAATAAAATAAATTCTTTTAACAGATCACAAATTGTCAAAATTCTGGAAACCATTATCATGCATGCTGAATTTATTTAATACTTGGTCTTTTCACCTCTCTGCAATCAAGGGTATTTGAATATTTTCAATATGTAATATATTGCTATGGTCTTGTTATAAGAGATTAACAAGAACATCAGAACAATAAGGCAGGCTTTAGTCTTCTGTCTTTCTGTAGTTTGTGTAAGCATCAATGAACAAGCAAATCAGCTTGGCCTGAAGTAATCCTCCTTTAGTTCATCTAGTATGACAAAGCATAATATGATGAGATGTTTCAGAAAGTAGCCCTCTCTATGGGAAATTTCTAATAGGACAAGTTAACCACTTCATATAGTGGCAGTCTTCCTGAAACATAGCAGCATATGTATGACTTGTAATACTGGGCCAGTGTTCTTTACTGATTATCTTTTACTGATAATATCTGATTATCTTTGTAGTGGGGAAAATGGTACTAAGTTACACTGCTGCAACTATCTAGTACATAGAAAGAATTGTTTTGAAGCTGCCTATATTTCTACACTTCTACATATAAGCAATTGTTTTACATTAGGTAACATTAAAAATGTAGAAAAATAATCTACAGAAGCCTGTATATGGTTTCCTTATTAAGTTTAATTTCCACTAAAGTCTGCAGGATAGAGTGCAATTTGTGATATAATTCTACTCCTTTCAAAATAATTGATTTAATTGCCAGTTCCAAAAGTAAAAACATAACCACAAATATCTATAACTTTCAAAGGCTGTCTTACATCAAAGAAGCTTGCAAAGCCATTGAAGAAGCAGAAAATCCAGTTAAACATAGGACAATATTGGATGTTGCTGATTTCAAACCATTGTAATCTACCTTCATGTTTGAGATAGAAAAAGTCAACTTTGCTAGTTGTATGATTTGAACTGAATGTATGAGATTGCAAAGAGTCCATTGACTCTTTTGATACCAACTGTTGAGCAGCAAACAGTTACGGCCTTCTTGCAGGATTCCTATCAGCAGATGGTGCCCATGGACTACTGCTGAAATCACCATGATCATTAGCTAATGGAATGCTGTAGGGTCTTTGTCATCTGTTATTTGTACTGATTAACAAGTTGGGGAAATCATCTGGAGGCTTGGGTTGAGATGCCATATCTACGCACAATGCCCTATCTGATACCATAGCTCTGCAAATGACATTTGGCACGTCCTGTATGTCCAGCTTCAGAACAGTTTACAGTAAAGAGGCTGCAGTTAAATGCATATCAAACAGTGACAGACTGCTTTGTCAGCCATTGTCTCAATGTTGCACTTCTGCCAAAGGACCAAGTATGCAGTGCAGTGACTTTAATGTATTAGGGCTAACCAAAGAAGCACTTGCAAGAACGACCAAAAACATTTTATACTACTTTAGGCTATTACGGTAATCTATGCCCTAGTCCAGGGGTAGGCAACCTTGGCTCTTTTATGACTCGTGGACTTCAACTCCCAGAATTCCTGAGCCAGCCATGGTGGCTCAGGAATTCTGGGAGTTGAAGTCCACGAGTCATAAAAGAGCCAAGGTTGCCTACCCCTGCCCTAGTCACATCAAGGCTTATCGTAACTGCAAATTTGCCTGAAAAATATTTTGATAATTCTAAAATGCACTATATAATTACTGGTAAATAAGAGATGGATCAGATCTTGTGAATGTATTTGCCTCATTTGTACTTCTATAACTCTCTGGTTTGGTACAGTAACCAAACAGGACAGGTACAGACTCCAACAGATAGTTAAGACTGCAGAAAGAACAATTGCAATCAGTCTGCCTTCCATAGAAGACCTGTATATTGCGCGAGTCAGAAGGAGGGCTGAGAAGATATCTGCAGACCCCTAATACCCTGGACATAAACTCTTTCAACTCCTCCCCTTAGAGTACCGCTATAGGGCATTGTATGCCAAAACAACTAGGCACAGGGATAGTTTCTTCTCTTGTGCCATTACTCTGCTGAACACCTAATTCTCACAGTACTGTCCAATGTTTATGTATATTTACCCATGTTGTATGGTTGTAGCATTATTATTATCCTTATCTTCCTCACTACCCCTTTTATTGGTATTATTGTGATTATTATTACTCTTGTTTTGCATGTACACTGAGAGCTTCTGTGCCGCAGATAAATTCCTTGTGTGTCAAATCACACTTGGCCAAATAAAGTTCAATTCAGTTCAATTCAATTCTTTTTCAAGTGATCTCAGACACTTGGAAGAAGAATCTGGAAGAAGCAAAACCATAGACGGGAGGGAGGAGAGAAAGAAGCCATAATAACAATTTGAAAAATGAAGTAATTAAAGTCTAGGAACTAAGCTGTAAAGCAATCAAAGAGTAAAGAAACTGTTAACAGAGATAAATAGGCAGGAAGGATTGAAAAAGGGAGGGGAGAATTTAATGTTTGGGTGGAGAAAGGAAGCTTTAAGGTTTAAACTCTATATAGGACATAAAAATAAAAACAGAAATGAACAGTTATCTAGAAATGTATAGGAAGAAGGTTTAATAGAGACATGAATAAAAATTCTTGGTATATTTTTAATAATTGTATAATAAAGCACATTTTGTAATAAAAACTGATCTATGTGATTACTGGGATCTCTCAATGATGGATTATAGAGTGTTGCAGTCAGAGCTCAGCTACACAGCCATTTACAATATTAAAGGAGGAACATAAAAATAAACACCCGGAAAGGAAAAGAATTATAATAAAAGAGAAATGAAAAATCAGCTAGAAAATAAATGTAAACTAATAAAGAAGAGGAAATTGTACATGCCGTATTTGCTCCAAGATTTATAAATTTTATGTTCTATTTTCTTGCTAGTTCTGTGGGAAATTTATTATTTCTGTCAACTCAGTCTTAATACAGTAATATTAAAACACAGATTTAAAATTAGCTATGATTGTGTGTACCAGGCATAAGAACGTGTCCCAACTTTTATAAAATGTTGAAAACAGAAAAAAATGAATTGATGATTTATGGCTAGGCCGATTAAATATGGTTGAAAATGGAACATTTAATATAATTTTAAAAAGGAGAGATACTTAACTGCTGTAAAAATCCAAAGTCACTTCTTTTTAAATCCTTTTTACTACTTCCTGTACTTTTTCCCCTTTCCTTCATTTTTCTTTATATATTTTCATGTTTACCTTTCACCTATATAAAGATATCTAATAAAAGTTACAGAGTAGTGTGTCCCAGCTTGACACATGGTTGCATCC